CGGCGGGAGGAGGGCGCCCGCCGCCGCCGCCGCCTCCGAGCGCTCCCGGGCTGCAGGCCGGGCGTCCCCGAGGCCGGGGCCGCCGAGCGGGGCCGCGCCAGGTGAGCCCCTGCAGGCGCGCTCCGCAGCATGCTCGGGGCGCCGGGAGGGCGGGCCGGGGGCGCCGGCGACACGCGAGGCCCGGCGCCCCCTCCCACTGCCGGGGCCGAGCGTCCTTCCGGCGCTCAGCGGCGCTCAGCGGCGCTCAGCGGCGCCGGGGTCTCCGCCACCGCCGGGGACGCGACCATATCCCGGGCAGGAACCTCACCGAGCCTGGGGGGACCAAGCCCCGGAGCAAGCCGGCGACCCCCTCGTCCAGCGCGGCTCCCGGTCCGCGGCTAGGTCCCCGAGTCCCGGAGGCGGGAAGCAGCAGGTGGGCAGATCCGGACGTCGTGAGTCCTCCCGGGACGGGGCGGCCACCGCGGCAGGGGCAGCCCCTCCCCCGGCCGCAGCTGTCCCGGCCAAAAGTTTTACCTGCCGCCGAAGCCAGGTGTTCCCGCGGCCGCCCCTGGCAGTGGCGGGGCTGCCCGGGGGGAGGGGGTGGGGACCCCAGCTCTGTGCGGGGAGCGGCGCCCCCAGCGCCCCCGCCCAGCCCGGAGACCCTCGGGCCCCGCCCGGGAGGCCCGCGGCGGGGGAGGACGCGGCGGGAGGGGGCGTCCCGGCAGGCGGAGGAGCAGATAAAGGCGCACGCTGGACCGGGCGCCGCCGGCCCAGCCGCGCGGGGACTGGGAGGCGGAGCGCGCGGCCAGCGCCTCGCCGGCCCGCGTCCCCCCCCCCCGGGGCGCCCCGGCTTTGCTCGCGACCCTTAGGAAGGACGCGCCGCCGCCCCCACCTTTGCAGTGTGAGTCACCCCGCGCGCGCCGCTGATGACTCGTGCTTGAGCTTGGTAAGCGGAGGCCAGAATCCCAAGGAATTTGGAGATGGCGCCTAAGGAGGAAGGAGGGTTCCTTCTGGGGCGGAACTAGCGCTCGAGGGGGGCCGGGAGCCGTGGGGAGCTGGAGGCCGAGCGGCGGGGAGCGGAGCCGTGGACCCGCAGGGCTAGGGGCTGAAGCTGTAGGCGGTGGTGGCTGGTTGAGACATTTTAGTGTCTCCTGGGCCTTACCGGGCTCTGGACAGTTCTCATTTGTGACAGTAGAGATCGCCAGAGGATCAGAAATGAACCCTGGTGGGGCCTGTTAAAGTCAGGGTCCCTGCTAGGAGACCCTTCCACCGACCCGACCATCCTACCATGCCCCGCCCCCCACCGATGCAGGCAGACTGGCCACCAGGCCGTTCTACGCCTCCCGCGCCTTCTCCCCTTTGCTGGTACTTGGAACGGAGAGGGGACGCTGCTTCCTGGGAAGCCCCTGGTGCTCGAAGAGACCCCCTTTCTGTGCTCTGGGCCGGAGGTCCCCGCGGCTGCGCGGCTGCCTTTCCCTGCACTTAGCTCCGACTGAGAGCCTGCTTCCTTTCGCACGGGTGACTGCGTTGCCCATCAGCCTGCCTGGTCTGGCTTAAGTGCTGAATGCTAACGGGTTACGAGAGGCAGCTTGGTTCCCAAAGTCTGTGGGTAATGATTCTGTCACGTGTTAAGGAGTAAATTCAGATAAGGAAGTGCTTTCAGCGCCTTGCTTCCCTGAGAAACACGAATCTCCAGCATTGGAATCGCCTTTATCAAGGGAAGGTCGGGCTTGGCTGGAAGAACGTTCCTGAAGGCAACAGTGATGACGCGTAATCTCATTGTACCATATTTAATCATTAGAGCTGTGCTAACGAATAAAGCAGAGGGGTTCGCCCGCGGGGACGTGGCGTTTGGTTTCCCAATAAGCAATGATAATGGGTTGGCTGGGACAAGGCTCCTTTGGCCCGAGGGGAGGCTTAAAAGCTACGTTTTTAAAGAAAATATTGGAGGGAGGCCCATTCCATTTTGTAGTCTGCCCGGAGCCACATTTCGTGTTCAATTTAACATCCATGAAAGTTAAACGGCTTTTCTCGCCTCTTAGTTTATTGGGTGCATTTTCAAAGATCTCATTAAAGTGCATTTATCAAAGTCCTAACATATACCCTCGGGGTCTTATACCCACACAATGATGCCGATTAATACAAGAAATCCCAATTTCTGTGACAATTTAAGTCTTAGGTAAATACTCGCTCTTTGTAGGGGCAGGTGATTGCTACACTGTTGTACATTTTGCCTTGGAAGAGAAAAGGGGGCTGCCTCTCCTAGCTGTCTTTCTCCTGCAACCACGGTTACCTGCTCGGGAACCCCAGGCTGTTGGTCTCATGACCGTTCTCATCATTTTTCACTGGTTGTCTGCCACTCTGAGGGGGGAAGAGCTCAGCTTTTTCTGCAATGTAATTGGAGCTCGGGTCCCGGGCTTGGGAAACTTGTTGACCCCACCTTCCTGGTGACTTAGGGAACTCTGTCTGGTTGGCACCCTTCGTTCTTCCGTTCCTGCTGTTAAGAGTTAATGCCATGACATTTTTGAAAGAAAAGGGAAGATTCCCCTTGAGCTTGAACGCAGAGTAGACTGTTTTCGTGTAGCTCACCCCCACCTTCTGGCCTATCTGCTCTATACAACTAGTGAGGACAAGGTCTTCCCTGCTGGAGCTCTGCCCTCCGCGCCTTGGCTCACCCACACAGCTTCATTCCCCAAGGGGCACAGATACCCAGTGACCCCAGAGGTTTTCTTGCCCCAGGGGCGAAGGTGGAGGCCAACCCACCGAAGCTGGAACTGATTTCCCACAACCCCCCACTCCATTTCTGGGTCAGGAGAAGAGCTGGGTGGTACTCCTGGGCCACAGTGCCGCCAGCTTTCTTTCACGTGTGATGGCACAACCTCTTACAACCCCAGCTCCAACCCACCCTGGGGCCTGTCTTGGAGGATAGTTTTGTTTTGTTGTTGTTGTTGTTTTAAGATGATCTTTATGATCACTCACAGGAATAGGTTGGAGCCGTTTTCCGTGCCTGTCTGTTTAGAGTGCATAGCAGTCTCTGCCTCCAACCAGAGATAAAATAAACCTTCCTCCTCCGACAAAACCTTTGTGTGGGCGCCGTTAATCCTCGCTGGAGCAGGAAGGTGCGCCGCTTTGTTTCGGGAGTGCAAGAAAGCAAACGCTTGCACCTCCGCACCAGCCACACAATAAACTAATCCACTTGAAGGCTGTTATCTGAGATGGGATGTGCGGGCCGAGAGCGCAGCCACATCCTCTACCAGCAAAGGAGTTTCTTTTCAGCCCCTTCTCATTCCAAAAAGAAAGGAAAACGAAGAAAAATAATAAAAGAAATGAAGTCAAACAAATCAGTGTTTCCAAATAAAGGGGGAGACCTTGTCTTTTTAACGATTGAAAGTGCTTTGTGCGTGGGGAGGACGTGGGGTGCCCGAGGATCGCCAGAGCTTTGGGCTCGTCAAGGTCGCTACTCCCTTCGGCTCTAGCGCCCCCACCCCCGCCCCTGGGACTTCATCTAGCCTTACTTCCCCTGGTGAACCCACCCACCCAGCAAGCTTTCACCAGCTGAGAAGGGGACGTGTGAACTCAAAAGTCCCAAGAGGCCTCCAAGCCCAGCCGAGGTGTGGGAGTGGGGATGGGACGCCGTGGAAGGATGGCGGTTTCACCCACAGGTACTCCGAGCACGCTCCTGTCGAGGTGCCTGCCGAAGCCTCCCCGGACTTTCGGAAACTCCCTTCCTCCCTTCAAGTGTTTGCTCGAGTTTAGAACTCGCCCCCTCCCCAACAGGGGGCGTAAAGCCACCGAGAGGCAAGGGCGAAGGCCCTGAAAGCAGTGGCAGGTGGGCGGCCCCTTGCTCCAGAGCGCAGAAAAAGGCGCTCGTGTTTGAGCCACCTGGAAAGTAAACAGGTAAACAGCGGCCGACTTGGAGGGCCACTTGTCCTGGAGTGGGCCACTTAGCCTGTGTGCATTCTCTGCCCCTCCTGGGCCTCCGGCGATTGTTCAGCTCCTGTGGCCGCGCTCTCCAGCCGCCGGGGCCGGTGCCCCGTCTCTTCTGGAGCTCGCCAACAGAAGGATGAGTGCCCCCTGCCCCCACCCCCGCGCGCTCCCCCAAGGAAGGTTCTCCCTTAGCTTCCAGGGGGAGGGGGCACTGGTAACTCACCCGCGCGCCTCTTCTCGCGGTTGGAAGAATGAAAGACTGAAGAAAAAGCCAAGGGGCTGCTAGAGCGGGGCTGTCAGGTTGACCCCAGGGCAAATGTGCTCACCGGTCCACCCAAGAGATGCCAGCGAGACCAACCTCTAGGCCAGGGCACGTTCCGTGTGGAACTTTAGTCTCCACCTCAACTCCCTCCCTAAGTGTGCAGCAGCAGAAGGCCCGTTAGAGAGGCCGCCATAGTCCCGCAGCTAAGCCCCAACATACATCTGGTGGCCAGTCTTCAGCTGGCGTCGAGACAGAGCCTGGACAGAGTTTACTAAAGAATTCCGCGTGGGCAGGCCCTTGCAGAGTTGAAAGTGGTGCCAGTACTAGCAGGCCCTCACCAGTCTTGAGCTGGCAGAGTCGCCATGGCGGGGACCTCGACTCTCCTAAGGGGGAATGAGCATATGCGACTGGTCCTCTCAGCCCGCTGGACCTGTGGGCTTTGGCCAGGAAGGTGATCCGTAAGGCCTAGCTGGGACTCTCACTGGGCGGCCTTAGATTACATCCGCTTGTTCAGTTTGGTTAGAAAAAAGGCCTTCGCCCCTGCAGGACACATCCATTCTTTTGACCCCAAGCCCAGCCGGCACAGGCTAGGTGAAGCTGGGGCTTGAATGGGTGGAGGACTAGTCTCCAGCCTTCAGCCGCGCGGTGCGGCCTTCCCAAGTTCTCAGGCTACTCCTAGGGGACTTGCATTTTATGATCTTCTCCTAACAAGCCCAGTTTCTCCCCGTCAATTACGAGCCTCCCAGCGGGCATCCTTCGTCTTTTCAGTTGCAAATGTTAACGCTTAGGAAGCAGACGAGGAAACCCCAGGGGCCTCGACTGAAGAAGCGCACGTTGCAGTGCTGAAGGCGAGGCCTGAGCTACTCTGGCCTTCCTAGTGCAGCTTCCCGGTGCACCCAGACCTTCAAACCCCGGTTTAAGAGGTGGTGGTAGAGCTGGAGAAGAGCCCGTTGGTTTCCTGTGCCCGCAGAAAAAGGATGAGCCCTCAGGGAACCCAGAAAAAGCGCCTGTGGGCTGAGCCCTTCCCTTCGTTTGAGACCTAAAAGTGCGTGCCCTGGCAGGCGCAGCCTAGGTGAACTTGAGCTGCCTCAGGGAACTGGCGCTCAGCGGCATCTGTCTCAAGGCTCGGAGCCAGCTTCCTCCCCACCAGGATTCTCTTAGAAACGCAAACAGTTCTCCAGCGCACTTTGCGGGGGGGGGGGGGGGGGCAGCACTGATTACTTCCAGGAAAAAAAGGCCCACTAAGGCCAGGGAAAGGAGGGCTAAACTGGGGACTACAGAGTACTAGTGGATCTAAGACCAAGGAAATGGGCAGGTTCCGAGTGGCTTCCAGGGGACACCCACTCCAGAGACTTAAAGGTGGCTCTGAGATTGCTGGCAAGGGACATTTGTGCTAAGGACCCCCTTTCCATCCCTTTCAAGAATTGGTCCAACCAAGTTGTCCTCTGGCCCCATATCCCACCACAGTAGAGGGTCCCCTAGTCCCCAAGGAAGTCCCCGCCCCTAAGCAGAGGAGGAAGAGGAACAAAGGGAGAGGGGGTTTGTTTTTTGTTTTTCTGCAATGCTTGAGTTGAGAAACTATTTCTTACCCAGTGTTTATACAGCCACTGAGTGACAATGGTGGGGCAAGCCCACCCTGCCCCTGGATTCGAACCCCCCCCCCCACTTCTGGAAGGCTGACTTTCCTCCCCCACCCTACCCGGCAGCGAGCCCCAGCTTTGGGGGGGGGGGGCAACAGGCACTAAAGCTGAGAAAGAAGCTGGAAAAATAGAAGTGGGAAAAGACACAGAAAGTAATAAGTTTGAGGAACACGTTTCAAACCAGATACTAATTCTTGCAGGAGGGAAAAGGAGCAAGAAAGGAGAAAAGAAAAAATAAGAGAAAGGGAATGGGGAAGGTCGACATGAAGGGGTTTCCTTAATATTGTGGACGGATTCAGAAATGAATGAAGAGATAGTCCATTGAAAAGGGTTGAATGCCATGACAACTAGGGACAACCTTAGATTTATTCCAAACAGTTAGGACACATTGAAAGAGAACGTCAATCATGTATTATTTCGCCACTGAAATAAATGCAAAAACCGGGCCTGGACAAAGGCTTCCAACGGGAGCGGGACATTTGTCTACATTTCCCTCATTGTCCGCAGCTTAGCAATCGGTTTGTATTTGTGTTTGCCCGGGTCCGACCACCCAGGACGCGCCGACGTGGGGCTCGCTCCAACCTGGGCCATTGTCACCCACGTCACATACTGGGGGCGAGGCAGCGAGAGCCGCAGAGAGCCCTGAGCCGCTCGGAGTGAGGCGCCGTCACAGGGCTCTGGAAACCCGGGGGTGGCGGGGGCGTCGCCGCGGCGCGGGCAGCTGTGCGCCCGGAGGACCGTGCCGGAGCGCTCAGCTCTGCCTGGGCCAGGGCGCGGAGGGAGCTGGAGAGAAAAGCCCCAGGCCTGGCCTTCTCGGCCCCCTCCCTCCCCGCCCCTTCCTGCCCCCGGGCTAAGCCCACTCCCGACGCTAGGTGGGGAGGACAAGCAGTGAGTGGCAAACTTCCTCCCCAGCCCCGAAGCTCCCAAACCTAAATTGGATGAAGGGTGTGTGAGGTGTAGCATCCGGCTCAGAGAAGTTCAGTTCCCAGGTTTGTAAGAGATCGATGGAAAGTTCACACTAACCTACTGCCCACCGGAAGCCCGGAGCGTGCCCCTCCAGCACACTCCCCGAGGAGAGCAAAAAAAGCGCAGAAACTAAAGGATTTGCAGGGAAGAAGCAAACTCAAGAGGAAAACGCACCAACATCCGCCAGCCCTCCGACCTCCGCTCGGTGGCTTTCTGGGTCTTCACCCGGATCGGAAGTACACACACACACACACACACACACACACACACACACACACACACACTCCGGCCTTTCTTCCCGCTGCTCTGAAGGTTGTAAGGGTAGAGAGCCAGAGAGGCCAGGATAATAAAAGGTAGCAAGGGACCGAGGCCCTTCCCTCCGCCCGCTGGAAATAAGCTGGAGCCAAAGGAGCCGGGGCTCCGGCGCGAACTCCGCCACCGAGAAGCGGCAGCTCCCGCCCCGCCCTTCCCCGGACCGCCCGCAGAGCAGAGAGTGAGAGGCTCTGCTTCTTCCTCCCGAGGAAATTGGGGCTGGGGGGTGGGGTGGGGATAAATGAGTCTTTAGCAAATAAAAGGCGGCCGGAGGGGGGGTGAGTTCCTCGGCGGCGGCTCTGGCAGGTCCAAGCCTACTCCTCTCCTGGGCTTCCAGCTCTTTCGCCGCTAACTAGAATCAATTACTTGACTTGTCATTTCTAGCACTCATCCTTAAGCTTCAACCAAAATATTGACCTAGGAGGCTTACAGAAGTTGGGCTCTTGCCATTTGAACCGGATCTTGTTTAGGGAACCACCAGCGATGGGAAAGAGAGATTTCAGCGGCGCGGCCTTCACCCCTCCCCCTTTGCCAAAGGCACCACAAATAGCCAATTTTGGGGCGAGCTGGGGGCGTGGGGGTGGTACTTGAGCGCTGGACGTGGGGAGGTAGGGACCGGTGAAATGTTAAAGGGGATTTTTTTCCCTCCACATCCTTTCAGTTTTGTTTTCTTTCTCACCCCTGCCCACCCCTACCCCCCCTTAAGATGCAATTTGTTAAAACGGCCCTTTCAAGTGTGTGGACTCGCGAGCGACGCGGTGGTCCTTTGTATGTAAATACTGAGGGAGAGGGGGGGAAAGCTCTCCCCATCTTTGCAATTAATTGACACGTTACACCTCTCATCTTGCTCTAGAGGGCCGTTGGATAGGAGCGCAGAGCTCCCCAAAACCCACAATTTCACATCTGCAAATACTGTCTTCATCCACTTGACTCCCAAGACCCGCCCACACGTGGCCAACCTTTGCGTTTTTAATGTCTCTTCCCCCGTTTTTTTTCACCCCTCTCTCGCTCCCTCGATCCCCTCCCTCCTTTTCTCCCTCCCTCTTTCTCCCCCTCCCCCCTCCCCAGGTTCGTGAGAGGAGCCCAGCCTTATATGGACTGATCGCTCGGGCAATGGCCCATTTTTTCCTCGCCACCAGCCGCCACCGCGCGCCGAGCGGCCGCCGGAGCCGGAGCTGACGGCACCTTGGCACCCCTCCTGGAGTTACAAACTGAGGCCGCCCGGCGCTGGGCGCGCAGGCCGCCAGCCGCTGCCGACACTTCTGCGGGCTTTCCGAGAAGAGGGGCGCGGGGCGGGCTTGATTCTTTTCCCTTTCCCTTTCCCACAGTGTTCCCCTCTCATTTTAAATAATAATTATCCCAATAATTAAAACCCATCCCCCATCCCTCCTCCCAATCCTCCCCTACCCCCTCCCCCGCCCGCCGGGGGCTGGGGAGCGCCACGAATTGACCAAGCGAAGCTCCAACTTTGCGGCATAAATTGCGGGGTCCGGAACCATGTCGCTGACCAACACAAAGACGGGGTTCTCAGTCAAGGACATCCTGGACCTTCCGGACACCAACGACGAGGAAGGCTCGGTGGCCGAAGGGCCGGAGGAGGAGAGCGAAGGGCCGGAGCCCGCCAAGAGGCCCGGGGCGCTGGGGCCGGGCGCCCTGGACGCCGTGCAGAGCCTGGCCCTCAAGAGCCCTTTCTACGACAGCGGCGACAACCCCTACACCCGCTGGCTGGCCAGCACCGAGGGCCTCCAGTACTCCCGTAAGTAGCGAAACTTGGCGGCTCGGCCGCTCCAGCCGCAGAGCCAGGGGGACGCTGGGAGCTACGGGAGAAGCCCTTTCCGTCCCGGTCCCCACCCGGGACCCCAGATTCGGGAACGTGCGCTCAGCGTGCCATTCCCCCCCCCCACCCGTCCCTGCTAGCCGCCTCTCCCCAGGCCCTGCCGAAGACTTGGTGTCCTATTTTTTCCCACGTGAGAAATTAGGGCGGAGGAGGACGGAGGTGTTGTCTAAGGGCTGGGGAGCGGTGTCCGCCGCACTCGCGGCTCCGGCCCGCGCCCCCCGGGCCCAGGGGGCCCAGAGGAGCTGCCTCTGCTCCCTGGAGCCAGCCTGCGGTCGGTCCGGCCAGCGGGCAGAGTGCGCAGAGCTTCGGGCATTAAGTAGCTCCTCCCTGCCCCTGCATGTTGGTGAAGAAACTGTGGGTGCGAGTGTGGGTGCGTGTGCGTGTGCGTGTCCGTCCAGAAAGCCCGAAAGCAAAAGCGAAAGCCCCCAAACCCGCCTTACCCCGCCAAGCCCATCAATGCTGGGATTGTGAGGGTTCCCTTTTAAAACTCTGCCCACGTCTCTCCAGAGAGGAAGCGGTTTAAGGGGGCCGGAGCCCTTAGCCCTGGGTGACGGGCCACACCGCAGCCCACCCGCACCAACAGCTCCCGAGCGGTGTAAACCCCTAGGAAGTTGCGCCTCGGAGACCCCTGCTGCGCAGACTCTCCCCTGAGCCCTCGCGGACCCCGACGGCTTCCCCCGCGCGGGGACTGGGCCAGTCCGGGGCCAGGGACCGGGAAGGTCCCCGGGGCTCCCGGCGACCCGGGTGGCCCTGGCCGCGGGAGCCTGACGCGCTTCTCTCCCACCCCCAGTGCACGGGCTGGCGGCCAGCGCTCCCCCCCAGGACTCCAGCTCCAAGTCCCCGGAGCCCTCGGCCGACGAGTCCCCGGACAATGACAAGGAGGCCCCGGGCGGCGGGGGGGACGCCGGCAAGAAGCGCAAGCGCCGCGTGCTCTTCTCCAAAGCGCAGACCTACGAGCTGGAGCGGCGCTTCCGGCAGCAGCGGTACCTGTCGGCGCCCGAGCGCGAGCACCTGGCCAGCCTCATCCGCCTGACGCCCACGCAGGTCAAGATCTGGTTCCAGAACCACCGCTACAAGATGAAGCGCGCCCGGGCCGAGAAAGGTATGGAGGTGACGCCCTTGCCCTCGCCGCGCCGCGTGGCCGTGCCCGTGCTGGTCAGGGACGGCAAGCCGTGCCACGCGCTCAAAGCCCAGGACCTGGCAGCCGCCACCTTCCAGGCAGGCATCCCCTTCTCCGCCTACAGCGCGCAGTCGCTGCAGCACATGCAGTACAACGCCCAGTACAGCTCGGCCGGCGCCCCCCAGTACCCGACAGCCCACCCCCTGGTCCAGGCCCAGCAGTGGACTTGGTGAGCGCCGCCCCTCCCAGACTGGAGGCCTTAGGCCCTGGCCCCACCCCGGCGGCGGAGGACTCGATCCTTTCCACGGTTATTATTATTATTATAATTATAATTATTATTATTAGAGAGCCGGGCCTGACGCTCGGCTCGGCCGCCGAGGCGGCGGGAGGCTGCCTGTGCCTCGTCCCGCGGCCGACCCCGCCGGCTCTGCCCCAGCGCGCTCTCTCTCCGCTGAACTTTTGGAGAGGGCAGAACTCTCAGTGTTTACAGAATGCTTGCAGCTTCGCTTCTCGGCCTCTCCCCGAGAGAGGCCGAGCATCCCGACGTTAACGCGGTCGCTGGGAAAGAGAGAGGACCAGCCCCACCTCCCCGCCCCGCTCTGCTTTCGTGAATTTTGTAAAATACGTTTGTGTGAGTAGCGATGTTGTCAGCCTTCTAAAGCAAGTGGAGAACACTTTAAAATATAGAGAATTTTTTTATAAGAAAATGCTAAATATTTATGGCCACGTACACGTTCTGACAACTGGTGGCAGATTTCGCTCTTCGTTGTAAATATCGCTGGTGATATTGCCAAATGACCTTCTGGATAGGCCTGGATCCCAGTCAGGCCTAACTCTCTTTGTCGTTTGTTTTGGGTGGGTTATGTTTGAGTTGCCTCCGTTTATTTTATTTTATTTTTTTATTTGTTCAGTGCAAACATTTTTTCAACTATAAAGAAAAAAAAAAATATGTGTAGGCGAGACACCCCGGGGCCAGTTTTCCGGATCCTGAGCTCTGGGGCTTGGAACTCAGCATTTCCGCGCGGTTCCCCAAGAGCGCCGGGCGCTGAAAGCTTTCAATTTTTTAAAATAAGAATTTTAATAAAAATCCTGTGTTTAAAAAAAAAAAAAAAAAGCAGGCCCAGGTCTCCGGTTTGTTTGACTTTGTCTCCCTGCCCCGGGGCGGGCAGCCTTGAGTCTGGAGCCTTGGCGGGCTGTGCCCTGGCCTGGTGCAGGCCTTTCCTCTCCCAGCCAGGGGACCGCGGGGACCGGGCGGTGGTGGAGCACACGGGACAGGCCTCGCCCGGGCAGACCGGACAGAGTCAGACCGGGCAGCCTGGCCTTCAGCCTGCTAGCGGCGGTCCAGAGTCCTTGTTGGCCCTGGCGCTCTCTGAATCCCCAAGAGGGGGAAGAAAAGTGACTTTGAGTAAGGCCAAAAAAGGAGAGCAAGCCCCCCTCACCCGCCCAAATCTACGAGTGGCTCCTTCAGCCTGAAAAGCTGTTGAAACCACTACACTTGATGGCTTTCACTTTGTTACGGTTGATTCTCCTCTCGCTAAAGGGGGCTGGGGGCGTCTGAGGTTGAGTCTGATGGCTTTCTCTTTACTTTGCACCTCTTTTTCAATATCTGCGTACCAAGTTGAGGCCTAGCTGACCTCTTCGAGGCCTGGGCGTCGGGATGAAGGGTGGAAGAGCTAACCTTAGGGTTTCTGAGGCTTTGCCTGCCAGTAGCAACTGGCTGGGTCCTGGGCGCACGTCCAGGTGTTGCTGGCTCCTCCTCCAAACTCTTGAGTCCCAGGAGCCAGGGATGAGAGTTGCGGCGTGGGTCCAGGCAACTCAGCCCTGTCATTGCTGATGCCCATCATTCCCATCCCTTTCGCCTAGGGCAGATCCCATGGAGCCGAGGCTCACCTCGCTAGTTCTGGTTCTTGGTTTCTTGGTCGTGGCTCTGGGTGAGCCGTTAGAAAGCAGAATCTTGGAGTAGAGCGGAAGCCTCACCACCAGGGCTGGGGGAGGAGGACAGGCAAGCGCACACAGTCCGGAGAGCTTGTGTCTTTCTTTCCTCCACTGGGAACCGAGCTTGTCGCTTGATGCTGGGGCTTGCATGGTCCTGAGAGCCACCGGCTCGTGCGCCACGCAGATTGGCAAGGACACACCTTTCCACTTGCCTCTCCCCTCCCGAAGCTGGCTGAGTCTGAGCACCACAATCTCTGAGGTGCCGAGGCTGAAAGTCTTTCTACTTGGATATAAAGTCTTTCTGTTTGGATACGGTGTCTGCGGCCCTCCAGAGCTCAGGCAGTGAGGTGAAGGGGCAAGGAGGAAGCCCTGCACCACCACCCCCATCCAGTTGGTGATCAGATTTGATTCAATATCTAAAGCAAACACGGTTCTCCTTGTGACCAAATCTGCACAACACACAGCCCGGGATGTGGTTCCACTGTAGCCCAACTTGAGCACACGCACCCCATCAGCAAGGGCACTGGAGTCTTTCCAATACCCCCTCCGGGTCCTTTCCCATCCACTCGGGGAAGGGGACAGTTTTCCCTAAATGCTGAAAAGTCTCCCTTTGTTCTGCGCACAAGCTTGGAAACTGTGGGGGTTTGTTTTGCTGTTTGTGAAAGCCAGATAATTCACTGCCTATCGTTTGCTGAGCAATATGAAAGGCAGAAGCCCAATCTGCCCCGGAACCAACCCTCACTCTCCCATGTACAATTTCTGCTACGCCCCGGGCCTCTGGGGTTATCAGCAGCGCAAGAAGGATGAATGCTGGGTGTTCCAGGCCCAGGCTTTCTGCCACAAACATTCACAAGCCCATTAGACCTTCAAGGGAATGTGAAGGCTCAAACTCTTGCAGGTTTCCAGCGCCTGTCAGGTTGAGGCCCACAGGCCCGCACTCTCAGCATGTGCACTCAGGAGTCCCTGGAGGTGGGCCTTGAGCCCGCCCCTCTCTGTCCTCAGGTCCCCAAGGAGTCAATAAAAGCGCCTGTGGAGCCCTGTGTGGCCCTAACCCTGGCGCCCTGGGAGCGCACCCTGCGCAAGGTCCGCTTTGGCAGTCTATCTTCGCCCAATCTACAGAGGGCCGCACAAAACCGCACAATGGGAAAGCTGGGAGCTGGAGATGTTAGAGGCGTGCATATTAAAAAGGGACAGAGAAAGGATCGCAGGGGACAGAGAGGGGACGAGAGAGCCCCCCCAACCCCCACCCGCACCATTCAGCGCGCTTATCACGGGTAGTGAATCCCGGAGTCAGGCAGAAGTCTCCTTGGGGTTTTGTTGGGCCTGTCACTGGGTCCCTTTGTCATCCGCGGGCTCCATGCTGGATTCCATATGGCCAGCTGGGCCGAGGGAGCGCGAGGAGGGACCCGCACAAAACCCAAATTGTGTCCGGCTTTCAAACCCGGTATTGTTGTCTGTGAAAGGAAGACGCATTAAAAATTCGTGCTATATCTATTGGGGAGGAGGTTGGAGGAGGGGTAAAAAAAGCCACCCTGTCTTTGATGGCTTCAGAGGGCCCTTGCCCTGCCTAGGCCCCATGACACACAGAGTCAGTCTCTCTCTCTCTCTTCCCATACACACACACACACACACAGACACACATACACAACACGCACACAGACACACACACACACACACACACACACAATGGTCTGGGCCCCTGGTGCACACCATATCTGAGATGACAGCTAGGGTTCTACTAGCAGGGAGCCCCATGCTGACGCCATTGGACAGGATAGGACTGGGGTGCTCAGGGCCTAGTTGGTAGTGTGGCTTTCTGAAGGCTGCCGGGCTTCAGGATAGATGCAAACCCAGTCCCTCATATCCGTGCACTCACAGGTTGGTGGTCAGAGGGGGCCTTCCACGTACTTCTGGAAAGACCCAAGAGGCCGAGGGCCAGGGAGCTGTTCAGCCCAGCTAGATTACACCCATGGCCAGGCCCAAGGCACCTTGATTACCACAGCCATCTAAGGGGGAACCTCCTTGCTCGAACTACAAAGGCCTTTCCTAAGCAGTCTGAGTTGGTTCTGAGTTTAACTCCCACAAACACCGCCCAGATGGATAGCATATTTCCTAATGGAGGCGTTCAGACTGGACTGCGGAAATAAAACGAATGCTAGATGCGCTTCTCTGGAGCAAGTAGTACCTTTGTGGACACCACCAAATTGATGAAAATGTCAAGGCACCTACCATTCTGCCCCCTCCCCCTCTTAGTGCTTAGAACTGCTCTGTCTGTTGTGTAGATAATTCCGTAGGCTGGCACCCCCTCCTTAACACTCCCCGTCCCCGTCAGAGAAATAACTTATTTTCCTTACCTATTGACTGTTGGGCTTAGTGAGACCTGGCGTGGATTTCTCCAGCCTTTTCAAGAGCCTGGTCATTGAAAAGCTAATCCAATATTTGCCAAGCGTAAGGACATTTCTCAAACGTATTTATTAAGGCCCATCGTTTAGTGATCGCTTGGACAAAGACAAGGGCCAGGGAAGGACCGCTGAGGTGCCCTAGACCCCGCCAGAGAGATGTGGTTCCTCTCCACCTCGAACTTAGAAGCTGGGTGCAAACTTGTGAGATGCTGGCGTCGCCTTCCCAGTGCTTAAGTGGCACTGGATTAGACATTGTGTTGGGTGGTATTTCAGGAAATATGTACTTGTGGCTTCCCGAGAGGCCAGGCGCGGTGACACTCTAAACCGCGTCGATATATCATCCTTTATCCAGGATCTGCAAATAAACCCTGATCCCCTCGGAGCATTATAGCTGCCGCTATCTCGCTAAGGAAGCGATCTGGGTTTTATTGCTTTCACCAACGCCCCAACACACACACACACACACACACACACACACACACACGCCCGCACGCACACACGCACACACACTGGATTTTAAAAGCCTCTATTTTTCCCCCTCTCAGGACATCGTTATTAAAAGAGGCGTATAGGTCTCAGCGCCGCCATCAGAGCAAGTGTAGAAAAGCGGGCTGGCGAGAGAACGTTTCCTCCGCTCAGCGAACCACGTGGGGTGGATGGCCTCTTCGCGTGTGGCCACTGGGAGGCGCCGGAGGGCTTCCCTGCCGCGCGGAGCTCGGCGACCCACGCAGTCCTTCCGTCCCTGGGACGCAGTTCCCAGAGTCAGGGTCTGCTAACCACGGGAGCGGCTGCTCTACCTTCAGTCTGTCCGGGCGGCCTGGCAAGCCAGTGTCCGCAGCGGACATCGCCATTTGCTCATCCTTCTTTTTCCCGGTTGCACGTCGTCCTCCCATCCCTCCATTTGCGCGCTCTTTGCAGTCCTCACCCCCGTGGACCCCAGCAAACTGTTCTCGTGGTCAGGAGCGTGC